TAGGAAAATTGAGTGGACGGGTGGAAATTTTGATATCTTAAAATGTAAGGCAGTTTGGAAAGTCTGGGAATCTTTTGACTAACTTTCCACCTTATCTAGAACACCAAAAGGATTACATCTTCCACTATACTGTGAGCAATTTGCATACCTGCCTGGTCCAGGGTGTTGTTCAGTAAATAGTTCAATTAAAGAATGCCTGAAAAAATGAAGGAAGGAGGTCAAGTCACATGCCAACATTAATCTGAATTCTTAGAGTGTGATGTGCTCTTAGGAATGGAAATTTGTGGATTTTCATTCATTCCCTCACTCAATAAATGTTTATTGAACACCTACTATGTACCAGGCACTTAATCCCATTTTATTTCAGTGACTAATAGTGAAAATCTTTCTAAAAATCAGTGTCTGGGGACACCTGGGTGGCTGAGTTGCTTAAGCGTCTGACTTTGGCTCAGGTCATGGTCTCAGGGTCCTGGGATTGAGCCAGCCACCTACCCACTCCCCTACCCCTCACCCCCTACCCCCCTAACCCCACCCCTCCCAGCTCAATGGGGAGTCTGTGTGTCCCTCTCCCTCTGCCCCTCCCTCTGCCCTTCTCTCTCCTCCTGTTCATGCTCTCTCTCTCTCTCAAATAAATGAATGAAATCTTCAAAAAAAAAAAAAAATCACTGCTTTGTCTCTTTACAAAGCATAACCAAGCAAGTGTCTATTATTGAAGCCTAAAGAGGACTGAAGAGCATGGAGGTTCTTTTTGACCTCATGGATATTACCCTGGCTAACAGGGTAGAAGCTAACAAAGCTGCTGTAGTGCTTAAGAAGACACACACTGCCTGTGTTCAAGTCTAGACTTTGCTACTCATACGATGTTAGATAAATTTTGCCTCAGTTTCTCCATCTTTAAAACAAAACAAAAATAATACCTCATACACAGGGTGGTCATGAAGATGAAATAATCAAAGTACCTCGGTACGTGGGAAACCCTCAAAGTGAATGGTGACTGTTTTTGTGATCACATAGAAGCCAACCTAGAAGAGATAGAGGCATTTAGACTGAAGATATTGAGAACTTGAGGACATGCCCCAGAACGTGGTGGTTTGATTTCAGTGCCATTTATAGTATGCATAGGGAAAAAAACACAACCCCGTTATTATAGTTTAATTTATCTGTGTTCTTGCCTGAAAATGGGGTGAGTAATACCTAACTGGTAGGGCTCTTCTGAGGAGCACATGCACGAGTGTGCCCGGTGTTCAGTTGGCTCTCAATAAATATTACTTTCCATCTGACGGAGTCAAATATGAGGAAGTAATTCCCTTTAATTAAGAAGGTTGATGAGTTGGGTTCTAGTTAATTGAACTGTAATATGTAAATCAACTTAATCGTGGACTGTCTTTACCAGATAAACACCCAGCACCTGGTATGGTTTGGTTGAGCACCTTTATTTGTTTGATTTTGAAAAATCCTTCCTCCCCCTCTTCTGTGGCTTCTTAATATTGTGGATCCCTCAACTCAGCCTGCAAACACTTTGCATTTTCAGTTGAAAGAAGGATTTTCAGAAGGTTTTAGATTTTAACTGTTGGACTTGTTAGGATTGCTTTAAATTAATCCAAGTCACTTGCAGACAATGGAACAATGGCCTTGTACCTCATCACTCCTTGTTTATTTTTTGAATAAAAGGAGCAAAGTGGGACATGTTCCAAATTGAGTCACAGGCTGGGGTGAGGATTAACTAAGTAAACATTGTGGTCTTTGGGGAGATAGATATTGGGTGGGAGCTAGAAAATCTGCAGCAGTCACCCTTTACCATTTATTTCTCTTTGTGGGACATCTTCCTAGCATAGCATGAGAGAAGAAGATAAACAGAAAGATATGTTCATTATGACAAGGTGATATTGAATAAAGATGGAAGAGAATGGTGTGTGTTGAGTAAGGAGGAATGAGAACGCATTGAAGTGAGACCAGGTAGAGGTGCTGAAGGGAGACCTTGGAACTCTGTCCATTGATAATTTCATGGGATTATACTGTTTGGATATACCCTTATTTTCATAATCATTATCATCCTGTGGCCCTCATCTTGAAAAGGCATTCTTAACCTTGAGTCCAATGGACACTTTGGGCTGGATAATTGTAGAATGTTTAGCAGCATCTCTGCCTCCTACACACTAGATCCCAGTAGCACCTTACTACCCACCCACCTATTCCAGTATAATAAACCAAAATATTTCATTTCTTGAGGGGCAACTGCTACCCCCACCCCCACCTGCCCTGCCCCAGTTGAGAGCTACTGCCTCAAAAGGACTCATTCAACAGCATTTCTCTTGGGCTGTGCTCATGGAAAGGGCATTCCTCTGACTTTTGGGTCTCCAGGACGGATTGGCTAAGCCACTTTGAAGCCAAATGGAATCCTCTTCAAAATGGGCTGAGTACATCCCTATGGTGCCAGGCTGCAATGTCACATTTTTAAGTGTTGGTGGGATGCCTAGACTATTTTCTAAGGTAGTGTGAATTTTGTCTCCAGTGGTCCTTAGCCCTCCTCAGTATTACATGGACATAATGACAACTCAATTCTGTTTGTGGTGCCTTTACTATCCGACAATAAGCTTGGAGAAAATCAAGTTTGTTAGATTGTTAAAATAAAACCTGTAGGTTATCCTCTTAAAATGGCTCCCTGGAATTATTTTAACTATTTTAACATAGGCATAACCACAAAAGGAGGCTCAGAAGCCCACCTCAGGGGGAGGTGAATTGCCCAGTGGCATTTTAGGAAAACAAAGGCTTTGCAAGATAAAAACATCTTCTTTCCTCCCCAGTTACAAGCTTAATGTTATTTATAACTCAGATGTCATATTTATGCCATTAGTGGCAGCATGCATACAATTTAAATATTTTAGCTTCCATTATACAACTGGATCTACATTACTGACCTTCAAGGGCCCCATTCATAAAGGATGAGGAGAGGGAAAAATCAGCTACTTCATACAAGGACTGGCTAGCACACTGGGTTTCCCAGCATTGTCGAACAAACCACAACACAGGGAATGCTTTGGAGCCACTTGGAACATGGCAGGGTGGGGACAGAGAATGATGGGGGTGGGGCTTTCGGGGCAAGGGGAGAGCCAGACCTTTTTTTCTATCTGGAAAAGAGTTATCCCACCTTTGTTCCAAGGGAGAATGAAATATCCATTAAGTCTGGTGACACTGGGAATTTTGTTCCACCTCGGTTCCTTTTGTTGTGACTCCAGGGTAAAGGAGAGGAATCTGGGTTGACTAGGTTTCAAGCCAAGAGGAGAAAGAAAACGAATTCCTTCCAAGGATTTCTTCTATTGTCTCAAGAATAAATATTTATAGAGAAAGTTCAAGTGAAGTCTTACAATGGTCATGGTTTTAAGACTAAGCCTTCCAAAGAGTACATGTAAAACTATGCTTAAATGAAGGGTGATCCAATTATGCTTCCCAGGGAAAAACCAAGAAACCTCAAGAAAATTTCCTATATAAAATCTAATTGTGTTCTCAAGTGGAGTAGGAATACCATTCTGAATTATTCCAGATCCATAGACTGCAGCAGAAATGCACAGCCAAATTGGATTCTATTTTAAGTAATTAAGTTATTTCCCTTCACGGGATCTATAATTTGCCTTCGACAAATGTGATTTGCCTCAGAAAGATAATACATTGCAATTTTTCCTCCAAAATAGATTTTCTGTGCCAGAAACAATTATGAAAAGTAGACCAAATATTGCTTTGATTATATCCTGGTTATTATCTTTGAGTGCATGCCTGGAGTACCCTTTTTGTGTCCCCGAATAAGATAGGTATGGCTGCTACATCGTTTAGAAATTATCTTTAAACGGAGATCAGAGCTGAAATTTACTCAAGAGCCTGGGGCTTGCACAATGGTAGTGTAAATAGTTGCGGGTGTTATTACATAAGACTCCAAAATCTTGTGCAAAATATGGGCAATGAGGTCAGTGGACCTTTCTTCTGAGCTCTCAAAGTACCAATTTAACTTTTATCTGCTTGGTTAAACCCTTGAGGTGCTAGGTGTTACAATAGATTAAGTGTTGAGATTTGCATAGAACATATTGCAAGAGGGGTATTTTTGGCTTGGTTAATTTTATGAAGAAAACATTCACTTTTGGCTTTATTTTCAATAACAGTTCGGTTGACTTATGACCAGGTGTCCCGGGGAACAACAGTGGTATGGAACAAGGGGTGCAATGAACTCCTGGTTTGTCCCCTTGAAAGTGCTGGTTACGGCAAGTCTGTGAATCTCAGTTCCTTTGTCTGTTGAAAGGGAATGATGGTATCTAGATTGAGAAAAATCAGAGAGGAAAACCATACCAGGCTTGGCACAGCACAGACCTGGGTTATACAAGGGGTCAGTTGTAGTAAAATCTAAAACATGGTATTACAGACCTTTTCTCCTTTACACACACATTTATCCTTCAGATTCTTTTTTTAAAAGATTTTATTTATTTATTTGACAGACAGAGATCACAAGTAGACAGAGAAGCAGGCAGAGAGAAAGGAAGAAGCAGGCTCCCTGCTAAGCAGAGAGTCCGATGCGGGGCTCGATCCCAGGACCCTGGGACCATGACCTGAGCCGAAGGCAGAGGCTTTAACCCACTGAGCCACCCAGGCACCCCTATCCTTCAGATTCTTTTTCATAGGAATAGGAACTGGCTAGATGTTTCTGAATGTCTGGGAGTTGCAAGTGGTTGAGACTTCAGATTTTGAAGACAGATTCTCTGGTTTGGAATACTGGTGGTGCTGCTTACCAAGCCTTTAACCAGGTCACTTAGTGTTTCTGTGCCTCAGTTTCCTGCTCTACAAACTATTGTTCTACTATTAATAATTGAGCCAGAGTTCCTATCACAGAATTATGATAAGGGTTAAGCAAAATATTTTAACAACCAGAAGAGGACCTGACATGCCATAAATATGTTATTATTTTTTACTTCTGTGAGCCAAAGGAGTGTCAACAGAAATCAGAACATAACACTGAGTAAGTTTATCATGAACTTTTATTAACAACTTAATACAAGACTGTACATTGTAGGTGCTGAAATCAATCCATTGCTGAAAACTGAAAAACCAGCATTTCTATACCACTTCAGGCTTTGGTTATAAGTGCCACCTTCTACAGCAAAATCACATAGTATAACCAAACAATTTAAGAACAGGAAAAAGAAAATGTTCCACTGGAATGGAGAGATTATTTATGTACAAACAGCTGAGGATCATTTCTAGCTTAAGTGATTCACTACACTCTGGAATGTTCAGTTCCCTCTTCTACAATCCTACAGCCAGACATACAGCAACTAAGAACTTGGCCACAGGTCCTGCCTACAGACACTCATTCACATGAAAAACAACAACAAAAAATATTTATATAAATAAGTCAATTAAACTTCACAAAAACTAAAGCAACACAAGAAAAAAATCCAGTAAAAAAACTGTACAGTATTGGTCAGTCTTTTATATCTGAAAAAATGTGTAACATAAAAAAAAAAGTTCTTTAATGTATACAAGTCTTTTCAATCAGTGTTAGCTGGAGTGAAAACTTGAAGACTCGGACTCGGTTGAAACAGAAGAATGTCCTCCCCGCTTCCCTTTGGAAAGGATCTTGAGGCTGGACCCTCTGCTCACAGAGGTGAGTGCATGCTGGGCAGAGGTTTTAAATTTGGCTCCAAGGAAGGCATAGAGGATGGGGTTCAGGCAACAGTGGAAAAAGGCTAGGGCCTCAGTGATGGAAATCCACTTGTGCACAGTGCTCTCAAATTCACATCCTTGCTTGATGATTTCCAGGAGGATGAAGGAATCAATGCTGATCCCAATGTAGTAGGGCAGCCAGCAGGCAAAGAAAGCCAGGATGAGGATAACTGTGGTCTTGAGGGCCTTGCGCTTCTGGTAGCCCTTCGAGTGGGACAGCTTGGAGATGATGATGCAGTAGCAGGACAGGATGACGATGCCCGGCAGAATAAGGCCAACCATGATGTGTTGAAACTGGAACACCACCAACCACGAGTCGTTGGGATAGAAGCGGTCACAGATATACCTCCCATCTGCCTCCCTGACGTTGGCAAAGATGAAATCGGGAATGGTCAACAGGAGAGCAGGTATCCAGACGCCCACATAGACCACTTTTTCAGCCAATAGCTTCCTTGGCCTCTGACTGTTGGTGGCATGGACAATAGCTAAGTACCGGTCCAGACTGATGAAGGCCAGGATGAGGACACTGCTATAGAGGTTGACTGTATAGATGACATGGACTGCCTTGCACAGGAACTTTCCGAAGTACCAATTTGCCACAGCATCAACTGCCCAGAAGGGAAGCGTGAGGACAAAGAGGAGGTCTGCCACAGACAGGTGCAGTCTGTACTTGTCTGTCATGCTTCTCAGTTTCTTCTGGTAACCCATGACCAGGATGACCAATCCATTGCCCACTATGCCAGTCAAGAAGATGATGGAGTAGACCGTGGGCAGAAAGATACGGTTGAAATGGGCATTTTCCTCCCGGAAGCAGGGTTCCTTCATGGAGTCATAGTCGCCTGAGCCCAAGTCATCTTCTGTGTAGTTATCTGAAGGGTATATCTGCATAAGAGGCAAGGGAATGGATATTAACTTTCAAGTATAGCGGGCATTCTCCAAGTTCAAAAAAATCTTTCTGCGATTTTAAAAAGTAATTTATAAAACCCAACTTATCCCAGCCTTCTTCAGGACATTCTGCTCCCAATGAAGTAGTGGGGGAAGAGCCCAAGAGAATTATAGACTCCTGCAGCCCTCCTCCCCATCTTCCCCCCAGAGTCATTTCATTATAGCTGTCTTTAGTAGAACCAATTAGAAAATTCTTTGTTTAGAACAAAAGGGCACTGAGATTCTGACGGTTTCAAAGTCACTTCTTTGCTAACTGTTCTACCCCGCCCACTAGGGGAAGAAAAAAACCTTGGGAGGAAAAATACCAAAACAAAACACAAAGAGGCCCCTCCTAGGCTGCCCGGAATGGAGGGGGGGGAGCGTGGGAGGGGGCAGGTGAGGAATGGGAATAGAAGCCCGTGTTTGGGGAGTGGGATTAATTTTCTATACGAAGATTTACCAGGACAAGGAAAAGGGAAGGAAGGAGCATGGGGGAGGGTCCCCAAAACTTTCTCCTAAGGCGCAAAACATTGTCTTTCCCTCGCTTGTCTGAACACAAGCCATTCTGTACTTATAGCAACGCGTAGTGGAGAAGGAGAATACGGCCGTAAACGAAGAGTCTTTATTGCTTGGGGTATTGAATAGGGGTGTTAGAAGAGAAGAGGATACCGCCCCACACACAGGCCCGCAGCTGGTGCTCCTCAGGGCAGGGGTGTCTACCTGTTTATCTCTTGGCGCGTTTAGGACGTTAGGGAGTGCAGCATTTTAATGGGAGGGGAAGGTCATGGGGTCTGCACTCATGGTCCTCGCCCCAAGTTTCATTTCCTCACTCTCCCGGATCGCTTCCCACCCCGCCACTGACCCAGTAAATGGGGTCGGAGATCTGCAGCTGGAAGCCTCCAGGCGGAGGGCGCACCTAGGGCCGGGTGGTCCAACTCCGGACCCCCGCGGCTGCCCATCACGCCCACGCCCACCACCAGCTGCTGCAAGCTCCCAGGGTTCCGCCCGGCAGCTCCCCAAGTTCAGTCCTACAGGGTGCTGGGGAGAGAATGGGCGGCTCCTCCGTAAACGCCTTTGAATTGCGCGCCGCTGGGGGAAACGAAAAGCCTTCCTGGTAAGGGGTTTTCAAAAGTCTCCAGGAAACCACTAACGGTTAAACAGCGCAATTGGGATCTGTGAGAGCTAAACGGTCTCCCCACTTGCACCTGCCGGTCTGCGCCGCAACTACCCGCAGGCCGGTGCCCTCCCAAGTCCTCATTCCACCCCAGTCCCCGCGGGGCACACCTCTGGGTCCCGCTGCACCGTGACTGCTTAATACTCCTCCCTCTGTACTATCCCAAACTACGGAACCCCGGGGTCCACTAGCTGCGCTTCCGATGCCCGCGAGGTCTCTCCCTCAATCCTAAGGCGCACTGGCGGCTCCTGGCCACCTCCCTGCTGTGGCCAATTCTCAGACCTCTCTCAGGCAAGCAGCACCTTGGGTCCGCCCGCCCTTCCCGCCCTCCGCTCACTATGCTGGGGTACTGACACAGCTCCTCGGGGGGTGCAGAGTTCGGCGAACACGCGCCTAACCTCAAGAGTGGTCCCCTGGAGACTTTGCCTGAAATTAACCAGGGGCGCAACCTCGCTCTGGGAACTCAGACCCCGCGCACCGCCTTCCACCTCTCAATTCAGATAATTCACTCCCCAAAAAACCCCTCCTCCTCCCCTGCAGGAGAGACTCTTGGTCTGAGTTCACAGGCAGCGCGCACGCCTTCTCCGCACTTGTGCACAGAATGTTCTTATGTTTGCCAACAGCATGCAAGCACAGCGCGCGCCGCAGGACTCAAGGGAGAGGCACATGCAGCCACCGAAAAGGTCCTTCCAGTTTTTTCCCCTCTGTTTACAGAGTAAAAGATTCCAATCCTACCCCCCTCCTCCAGGGTAACCAACCGCACGAAAACTCCTTTCCATGCTCCTCTCCCGGGTACCCGCACCTCCCATGTTCTGGTCGGTTATGACCACTCCGAGGGGTTGCGCTCTAAGTTTACGTGTTTGTACGTTTAAGAAAAAGCAGGTTGAAACTGGACTTACACGGAACCCGTCCATGGTAACTGCTCGCTCTCCAGCCGCAGGGGCTACCGGAGCACCCAAATCGTCGGGATCACTTTGCTACCTGCTGCCGCAGACAACAGACTGAAGTTTCTGGCCGAGGCTGGACTTTTATAAAAACACGCTCGGCGGGCGGCGCATGCGCCATGCGGGTGCGCGGGCGGGGCAGGGAAAAGGGAAGGCGGGGTGGGGCAGAGGGAGCAGTCGTAGGGGAGGAAGGCTCGAGGGAGGGGTGGGGTAAGCGCTCCAGCAGTCCCAGGGAGGTTAATTGGGGTAAACCTGGGAATCCCCTGAGCGGCTGCTGTTAGTTGGAGGTCACCTTGTGAGTCTTGGGCTGTGGAGGGCATCCCAGAGGCGTTCCCCAACTTGGGAAAGCTGGATGCGCCTGAAAGGAGGTGGGAAGCGCGGGCGACCATCGCGTCCTGTGTGGCGCATCCATCCTTGCTCACGTGGATGGAATTCCAGACCCGGGAATGCTACAAATGGAGACACTGAGGCCCGGAGTAGAGTAGTGATGTGCCAGAATGACCCAACCAGTAGGCGGCAATGCTGGAAGTGGGTCCAGCATCTGATTCCATTCCCCGGCGCTTTCCGCAGATGCAGTCCGTTCAGACAATAAAAATGACTCTCCAGAGCACATGCACATCCACAGTAATAGTACCAGCATCAGGTACACATAATAAGGAAACACTTTCAGGAGAGGGTAGGATTATTTGGCATAATTAGGGAGGGAGACCGTGATAGAGAAGTAGGTGTGTATTTCCGGGCAACCAATTAGTGAATAGTACTTAAAAAAACAAAAACAAACAAACAAAAAAACTTAAGTGTGCTTTATTATAAAAGAAATTTAGCGAATAGTACTTTTTGTAACAGATCACGAGGTAGACTTGCACAGAATCACTCATTCATTTTCACAACAGCCTGTGGGTGTTACCATTACGGCGATGCATTTAGTCATTTAGATATTTACGGGGGGCCAATATGTGCGACTCACTGGTCTAGACGCTAGGCATACAGCCCTGAACCAGAGGATAAGGCCCCCATGCGGAGGAAAACAGAGAGGTGACTAGCGGAGATGAAATGCCGGGTTTGGCCCGGAATTCCAAGCCGGGCTTAAACCAAGATCTGGCCCCGTGTCCACTGTCTTCCACGACTCAGTGTGGAGGACAAGTGTCCGCAGGGATATTAGAAATTAGGCTGAAGGTTGGGCGGGGTGGGGCGGGGTGGGGCGGGGTGAGGCTAGACGGTTAAAAGAGTCCCCTATAGACTGGGGTTTGCAGTGAACGCCCAAACAGGGCTTTCCATCCTCGCGCCGGTTCCCGCCGGCGCGAGGCTGGGTGGGGCGGGGAACGATTGAGGGGCGGGGCCAAGAACTAGTGCGACCGCTGTCGGGTGACCGCACCAGCGACAGCGGGGGACCGAGATGTGAGCGTTAACCAGCGAAAGCGATGAATGCGCTGTGACGCGCGCCCCAGCACGATCCCAAGAAAAAGACTTGCCTAGACTGGATCTAGAACACCAACCCCTTCACTTCAGATAAAACCTTTCAGTCTGGAGGTATTCCAGAGATGGTCCAGGGGCTGGGAACCTTTCTACAGAGCTTAATTTTCTTCTTTTGTCGGCACCCCTTCCCTAATGTTTGTTGGTGAAGGTACTCATCTACTGAAAGCTGATGTTAGGGTCAAGAGGTGGGACTCTTAGGAACTACTAATTTAGGACAGAATGATGACTAGATGAAATTATACCGTAATACTACATTATGTAGAGTAAAAATTGGGATCCTCCCATTTTCACATCCTACGGTTAGGAGGCAATATTGAAGGACCAGAATTTTAGACAGGTTCCATGATTTGCTTTTCACAAAGCTCAGTAGTGGCAGAATCATTATGTTTTGACCCAGAATGTCAACTGCATTGGATCTCAAAATTCTTCTCTTCATTATGGTGGAAACCTGACACGTGGAATCTTCCAAACCTGTCCCAAAAGGGAAGAGAGGATAAATCCAGAGTAAAATGGTTTGCACAATAAATATTTGTTGATTGCAGACAAAAGAAAGGTTTTTCTTTATCTGTGGACCTCTTTAGATCCTTTTAGGTATATCTGCTAAGGGGAACAAGATAAGAGAACAATGAAATGCTATTCAGTGACTGTCAAAGTAAGCAAAATTTTTCTTTTCCAAGATAATATCTGGATATTAAGATAAGAGCAGCTATTTCTCCCTTGTGGCTTGGTGGAGAATGTGGACTGAACATCCTTTCTGGAGAGCACATTGTAGTCAGCAGAAACTTAGAACAGTAATTCCACCTATAGAAACATCCCAAGGAAAGAGAAGCTGGCCGCAAAGGTATTCATGGAGGTATTATTTATAACACTGAAATATCTGAACAGCCCTAAACGTCCATAAGTGGAACAGTAGAGAAGATTTTGGTATATCCGTATGTGGAATTCCATACGGCCATTGTCAATGATGTTTGTGAAGAAGATTTTCTAATGACATGGGAAAATGCTTATGAAACATTAGGTGTGAAAAGTAGGACTCAAAACTATGTATATAGTGTGAACTCAGTTATGTTAAAATATGTGCCAGAAAAAGATGGGAAGGAAAACAAAAAAAAAACATTTCTTGAGATTTTATTTTTATGGGGCGCCTGAGGGGCTCAGTCGGTTGGGTGTCTGTCTGCCTTTGGCTCAGGTTGTGATCCCAGCGTCCTGGAATGATTGAGCCCCATGCCTGGGTCCCTGCTTAGTGAGGAGCCTGCTTCTCCCTCTCCGCTCCCCCTGCTTGTGCATATGCTGTTGTTCTCCCTCTGTCAAATAAATAAATAGAATCTTGAAAAAAAAAAGATTTAATTTACTTATTTGAGAGAGAGACAGAGAGCGCAAGCAGGAGGAGGGACAGAGAGACAAGAAGACTCCCTGCTGAGTGGGGAGCCTGACTTGGGACTGGATCCCAGGACCCTGAGATCATGACCTGAGCCAAAGTCAGACACTTAACTGAGCCACTTAGGCGTCCCCAAAACCAAAATGTTTATAGGAGTTTTCACTGGGTGAGAATTATATTTGATTTTTTATTTTCTTCCTTGCATTTTTCTGTGCTTTCCAAATTTTCTGTAATAGGCATGAAACATTTTCATATTCAGAAAAAAGCCAGTGTTAAAAAGGGAAACAGAATGCCTCCCTTCTCATACCTTTCTACTTCCTAAAGTATTCACTAGATAGGATGACTTTTTCTTTAATAGTCCTCCTTTCCTCTAAGGAATGGCCTTTCCTTATTTTCCCTTGGGCCAAACCTACCTAAACTACTTTTCCAACTACTCTAAGATGTTCTTAAAAGGAAAACAAAGCAAAAAACTCAAATATCTTTTGAGGGCTTGTGATGTGTAGTTGACCTCTTATAATCCCTTCAACCACTCCATAAGGCATGTGCCACCTCTAGACCCCTGGTAAGAAAACTGACGTCCAGAGAGGGCAAGGAACGTGGTGGAGATCACACAGGGAGGATCTGCACCCAGTCTGTCTGGCTCCAAAGCCCAGACTCTCTCCACTCCTCACAATGTCTTCTTTCTCTAATGGCTGCTATTCACCCTCTGAAAGCTCTCTGCTCTGAAAGGTCACTTGGCATCCACTTACATACTGCTTTGAGTGGCATCTCTTGGGATGTTATTCAATTTTTAAATGAGTGTATGTCTTTTCTCCTCTTCCTCAAATATTCTGGGTTCCTTAAAGTGAATGCTCAGATATCCTCTATGCAGCTAGCCCACTGATGAACAAATAATGGGCTCCCTAATCGTTTACTGAAGCTTTATTTAATGAATTAATGACTTTCCTATGTGGCTCTGGCAATCGAGCTAGGCTTAGGGGCTGTCAGGGCTTTGGCAGGGTCCCCAAGTTCTCAGGCTGGCTTGAGCCCAGGGAATAACTAGCCTTGGCCATGCTTTGGAGGGGATGCTTGCAAATCCAGTGACATAGTGGCAAGCGTTCTGCTACCTCCTGTTGCTCGGTCTGCAGCTGGTTGATTTGTGTGTAAGTGTGTTTGCGTGTGTGTATCTGTGTGTGTGTATCCCCAGAGAGGTTCAAAGCCAGTCAGGCAGAAACCTTAGGGACAGACCTCTTCCTGATGGTGGGTGGTAGGAGGCAGCAACCTCACAGGCCTTCTGAATGCACCAAGTCCCCTGTTCCCTCGCTGGCTCCTCCCCTGTCTTTTTCAAAGAAAAACTGCCACTTTTGCTTCTGAAAGAGAAAAAGAATACAAACTTCATTGATAGCAGTAGGGGATAATTCAAGAGACAAAGTTAATGTTTTCCCAACTGATAAAAAAAACAAAAAAACCTCACAAAAACACAGGAGACTACTTCCCAAGGGGCATGTAATTCTACCAGAGGGTTACAAATCTCAAAGACAGTGCTATCAAATGTCAACTATTTTCAATCGGTGTTAGGGGGAAGAAATGGTTCCTCACCCCACTGCAGCCAGCTCGCTCCTCTTTTCTCAACTCCATATGTCTCTAATGCCTACACGTGGAAAATGACTTTGGGAAATAAACCAAATTTAGGGAAAGTATGACTGGTTTTCTGAGTACCATTTTTATCTTACATCTAAGTCCTATTTTGAATTTCTAAAAGGTCTGACTTCACTGAAGTCAGATTATTAGTGATTTCTACAGAAGCTTTGCAGCCATCAAGAACAGTCCACAAAATTTCCTATACAGAGAGAAAAACTAGACTGGTAAACAAATACAGTTTAGAGTCAGCCTGGTAAGTCATTTTAACAAAGCAGCCACTTAATTAACAATGCAATTATCATTACTTGACTAGTTAGTTCCACTGCCAGGAAATGCATTGCTTTCAAAGTTTGTTGTGCTCCTGTGGCAGGTTCACTGTGGCTTTGTGGATCTGAAGAACAACAGACCCAGTGCTGTTGCCTCAAAAATTATGGTGTCGGGACGCCTGGGTGGCTCAGTTGGTTAAGCAGCTGCCTTCGGCTCGGGTCATGATCCCAGCGTCTTGGGATCAAGTCCCGCATCGGGCTCCTTGCTCATCAGGGAGCCTGCTTCTCCCTCTGCCTCTGCCTGCCATTCTGTATGCCTGTGC